TGGGTAGGCACAGGTCATGTTGTTGGGTCACCCCTTTCTGAAATACTGACAGGCTTCATGCTCTGGGAAGTCATCAATTCATCCTGCACTCTCTGTCTTACAGGGCTGGAGTTCTGGTGGCATTGGTGAGACCCTGACAGATGACCTGCCAAATTTCAGCCTGACCCCTCTGGAATACATCAGCAATGTAAGAGAGCTCAACTGTCTTTCTGCTCTAGAAAACAAATTGCTGGGAACACTCCAGAGAGCAAAGATTTGCTTGAAGAAGCAGTTCTCTGTACAGGTCTTTCTTACCATGAGTGTTCCAGTGACTGCTTCTCTGACCTTGTGAAAAACTATTTCTTGTTCCAAGTGTAATGGTGCACGAGAGTCAATTTGTAGGTGAGTGAGTGGCTGTCAGGCTCAGCTCTCTGCTTTCAGGTGTATTTACTGCAGGTGACTTTTTCTCTGGTAAAGGACTTGGCTCATTTGTTGAGTGACTCAGCTTTTGGTTCTTTTATTCTAGATTGGCCAGTACATTATGTCGCTTCCCCTGCACCTTGAGCCATTTGTCACTCAAGAGGATTCTGCTTTGGAGCTGGCATTACATGCTGGAAAACTGCCATACCCCCCAGAGCAAGGTAGGGAGAGAGCAAAGCTTTCCCATCCTGACATTACACGGGTGGGATGTGTTACAGTGACAAAACCATTGGACATCCCTTTCCCATCACACTGTTTCTTCCAAGAATCCTTCAGTAAAACCAGGAGTAGCCTCTAAATAATGAGTAAAACTTTTTTAGGTTTAATTCAAACTGCAAGCTTTGGCTTGGTCTGTGTGGGTTTGGTGTTCATTAAAACAATGGTTTGGGGTCTGCAGAGTTCTGTTGGGTTTTGGCTCCTGTTCTGGCTCCAGGGGGCTGCTGTGTCACTAATCCTGCTGCAGGTAACAGCAGTAGCCACCTAACGCCTTTCCCTGCAGGCTGGCAGTGTACCTTGTGCTGGGCTTAGTCTCTTTACGGTGTTATTTCCACAGACAGTGAAGAAAGCGCAGAGCCTGGTATTTACAGTCTTCCTGGACCCTCCCAAAAGTATGCTCTTTAGTTCAGGCTTTTGCATTTACAATTATGTCACCTTGAAGCATTTACATGTTGTAATGGCTCGATAATTTTCAAAACACTAATGAACACAGGCTGCCTTAAGGGCTGGAAAAAACCTCGTGCGAATCCGTGTCAGTGCCGTGGTTTGCAAACTGCTCCTGGGAGAGGATCCTGTGGGAGGTGCCAGGCAGTGCCCTGTCCCAGCTGGTCCCCATCAGCCCTTTGGGAGTGACTTACCTGGAGAGTATCCAGGGGAGTGTTTTGTGTCTGGAGCTCATGTCAGTGGTGTACAGTACAGGCAGAGCACAGGACTGCTTTGATTACCCCAGAAGCAGCTGATAAACTCTGCCTGCCTCCATGTCCTGTGGAAGGAGCAGTCAGGTGTTGTTACCCAGCTGGGATGATGTGTTGTACAAAGCCAGCAAGGGCGGGTGGGGAGCTGGCAGCTGACGGGACTGTCTGTGCAGGAGACGAGCTGCCCGAGCTGGACAACGTGGCTGATTACTGGCTGGGCTCCATCGCCAGGGCCACCATGCAGACGTACTGTGAGGTGATCCTGCAGATCCCACAGCTCACCCCACACGCCACCAAGCAGCTGGCCACGGACATCGGTGAGCGCGGGCACCGGCCCCGGCACGGCTGGCGTCACACACGGGCTGCTCTGCACTGCTGCATTAGCCACTGCTGGGGACAGGGTTCCCTCCGTCACCAGCAAGGCTGTCTTTCATCTCACGGTGTCTATTGCCAGTTAAATACAAGTTTTTCCTTAATTTTGCAGATTATCTCATAAATGTGATGGATGCCCTGGGCCTGCAGCCGTCGCGGACGCTGCAGAACATTGTAGCTCTGCTGAAGGCCAAGCCAGAGGAGTTCCGCCAGGCTGCCAAGAGCCTGCCCCGCCGGACGGCAGCTGCCATCGCAGCCATGAGGGGCCTGGAGGGCTAGCTGTGCCCTCCCTGCCTCTGCCATCGCAGCCATGAGGGGCCTGGAGGGCTAGCTGTGCCCTCCCTGCCTCTGGCATCACTGTCAGGAGTGCCTGGAGTGCCAGCTGTGCCCTCCCTGCCTCTGGCATCACAGCCATGAGGGGCTGGAGTGCCAGCTGTGCCCTCCCTGCCTCTGGCCCCTGCTCAAGGACTCACCTCCTCAGACTGTTTTTCATTTCTGCAAGGACAGTGAAAAGATCTTTGGGGACTAGGGGAATTTATTTCAGACTAACTTTTAATAAATGTCTTTGTCTAGGAAAAGCTTGTTCTATTTTTCCATTTTTGGAAATAAAGCTGTCCTACAGCCAGGTTTCCCAAAAACTCTGGATGACCCTGAGTAGGTTGAGGAGGGCTGGAAATGTTCTGCCAAGTGCTGTAGAATTCATGCTTTGTGGCTGCTTTTTCAGATAACTTAATCTCCTGTGTCCCAGGTGATGGGGTAGCTGCAGGACAGAGGGGGCTGCCTGTAGGCAGTGGCCACTGCTCAGGGCTGTTGGAAATGCAGGGTCAGGAAGGGTCTTTTCAGCTGGCACTTGAGGCTTGATCAAGCTGGGCCCTGAGAATAAAACCAGCTTTGTAGGTTGTTCCTGGTGCAGTTTCACTATTCTACTGAAAACCATGAGGTTTTTAAGGAATTTAAGGAAAGTGGTGCTTTCTTGTAGAATTTATTACCATTTGTTATGTAGATTTTTGTGAAAGAGCTGGTCTAGCCTTAGTGTGCTCTCTTGGGAGACAGTGGGGTGGAATCCAGGGAGTCCCAAAACTGGAATGCCAGCTGAGTCTCGAGCACCTGCCCCTTGCTCAGGCTGCTGTGGGTCTGCCTGGGGAGAGCTGGGCTGGGACAGAGCTGGAGCCAAGCACTGGAGACACTTCCCACTTTTATGAGATGTCAGGCACCTCCGTAAGGCAGCTGTGACTGGAATGGTGAGCTGTCCCTGTCCTGCAGGGAACACTCTGTTCCCTTCACTCCTGCTGTAGGGAGGGTGAAGCTCAGCAGCCGTGCCTCTCCTTCCCCTGCCCGGCTCTGCTGGGGAGGGTTCTGGGGCTGTTCCGTGTCTGCTGCTGCTGGCCTGGGCTGGCAGCCAGCTGGGGCTGAAGGCATGAGGACAGGGTGAGCAGCCTGGCACCTGCTGCCCATCCCAGGGACCTGTCTGGTGGTGACAATGTGAGAAGAGATGCCCAGGTTCTTGCTCTCGGTGTTCCCCATGCTTTAAGCAATGTGCCCTGTGTGTTCTGGTTTTTCACTGTTGAACCTCTTGGAGGCCTTTGCCAGGGCTGGCACTGCATACACTGAGCGTTGATCCAGGAGGGGAGGGTGTCAGGTCCTTGTTTCCCACCCAGCTCTGATATGGGATCAAGTGCCATCACTATACCAGAACTCTCCTGGGGGAAAAGAGGCTGAGCTTGTGTGTTTGTGGTGCCCAGAGATGGAAATGTTCCTTTCGGTGAGGAGACAGGAAAAGTCTAGGATAGCTTGTAAGGGCTGGACTCCTCTGTCTTTACAAATGTTCTTGTTGCCTGTCATGTGTCCTGTTGCCAGTCAGATTGATTTAGGGGCTTGCTGAGCTCAGGCTGTACCTGGGTCAGGTGGTTCTGTACAGAACAGTGTGTTTGGGGGCTGTTGGTCCTTCTTCCTTCAAACGAGAACCAGCTGAGGGAGAAAGCTGGGACAGAGTGTGGATGTGTTAAGGAGGTACTCCCTGAATCTGGTTTAACTGAATTTTGAACACATAATTCCATTTTGTGGGGCAGAATCAGCCATGCTGGTGGCACCTCAACTATCAGATTGTCCCCTAGTTCCTCTGTCCTGCTGCTGGTGGTCATCAGCAACTGGACCCACCATTTCCACCACTACCAAGGGGCTGGAGGGACCCTGGGCACGCTCTGCCCAAGAGCTCTGCACCAGAGCACGCTGTGCTCGGGGAGCTTCCCATGCAGAAGGATCCTGGACCTCTCTCCCTGCTGCCCCACACTGGGCACCGTGCCCAGAACATCGTGTTCAACCACATGGTTGTGCTTCCTCTTGAACTTTTGCACAAGTACTTCAGTAAGGCCAGTCCTGGTGAGTTGTGATGGGCTCCTGGGAAAGCTCCTGGGGGCTGGAACCAGCCAGGGACAGGTGAACTCACTGCCCCACTCAGCCCCAGCTGCCCTCATGTCAGGGTGAGCACAGTATGTCCTCCTTGCAAGCCACTGCCATCAACCCCTTGCCAGCACTGGACTACCCCCACTGCCAGCAGGGAAGCTAAAGGCAACTTTTAAATCAATTTTTTATTGTTGCAAGAATGACAGTTAAACGGGCTGGTGCTTCCTCCCAGCAGAGTCTCTGTGGAGTCGTGTCCACAGCACCAGCTGTGCCCACCGTGAGTGCTACGGACCCTGGGCAGCAGCACAGCGGGGCAGCCAGCACTGAAGGGAGAGATCAGTTTGTGCTGTTTCCATTGTCATTGTTTGGGAATGGAGATTCTGCAGCCCCAGAGGTCAGAAGTAGCTTTGGTCCCATCCCAAAGCTCTGCTCCATGGTATGGCACACGCTGTGCCACATCTCTGCAGCCAAGAGTGCTGGAGAAGGGGACAGGATGAGATTGTCTTTAAGGTCCCTTCCTCTTCTAGGGTTCTGTGATCCACCAGGCCACGGCCTTGCATCCACTGTCAGCATGTCCTGTCCTCTCCCCTGCTCTGCTCACTGGGAATCGCTTCCCACCCACCCATGACGGGAAACGGTGACACGATTTCACAGCAATACTGATGTACACGAGCTCTACACACTACAGCCAAAGCCTGGCTCTGTGGGGTTTATTGCAGGGTTATTAGGCAGAGCTTCCTCCCAGCAATCAGTCATAGGAGAGGACAGCTTGGGCTTTTAATTCCCTCCTGATTTTGCCAGGCAGACACTTGTCCAGCAGTGGCAGAGCCTGGGGGAGCAGGCAGGGCGCTCTGGTCACTCGGTGTCGGCGTCGCTGTCGGGGCCGAGGGTGTCCAGGGGCTGCACTCGCAGGGAGTCGTAGTTGGGCGGGGGCGTGCCGGGCTCGGGGGGCAGCGCCTCGGCCCTGGCCACAGCCCCCGTGGGCTCGGGCTGGAAGCCCAGGTTGGTGTGAGCCTCCACCAGCTCCGACACCGTCGGGGGCGCGTCGGGGGACCGCGCCCGCCTCTGCCTCAGGCCTTTGCACCAGCCGATGAGGTTGATGATGGTGATCCACAGCGAGTCGATGATGATCTCCCCAAACTCAATGAGGCACAGCACCGAGCCCCCCATCCAGAACCCAAACTGGCCTCCCAGGCTCGACAGCAGCCAAACGATCTGTGGGAGGAGAGTGCAGTGAGCTGAGGAAGGGGAGCCCCTCAGTTGTGCCCCACCCTGATCCTTCACCCCTGTGCCAGCAGCCATGGGGGCGATGCCCCTGCACCTGGCACCTGCCTGCTGGGTCCCCTCCCGTGCTGCTGCTGTGGGGCTGTGGCAGGGACGGGAGGTGCAGTGGGGGAAGGAATTGAGGGCTGTGAGCCACCAGGCAGAGGTGGCTTCATCCACTTCACTGCAGCGTGTGTGCCAAGCAGCAGCCTCGAGGGACGTGTCAGACTGCCCCAGAGGGCACCGAGCCCTGCCCTGCCAGGGATGGGCACTCACCGTCGTGGCAGCTGACTCCGAGATGGTGCGGTAGTTGTACTCCTGGAAGTAAATGTTCAGCTTGATGATCCCGTTCCTGTAAAGAGCAAAATGCACCTCAGCGAGGAGCTGGCTGTCAATAACCTGCACCTCTGCTCCAGCCTGACCGAGGGATAGAGACACCAAGACGCGAGTATGAAGTGACAAACGTTACAACACTGGAACTGTCCTTAATGCTGATTTTATTAACTGCATGTTTGAGTCTGACTGGCCCAGTTTGCAGCTCTGGGGAGCAGAGGACAGGCATGAAGTGCCTTTTGGATCTGCTTTCTGTGTGTCAGGCTAACACCCTGCAAGCCTCGTCCTCCCTGCGCATTCTCACCCGCCTGTGCTGGCCCGGCGCCAAGGCTCGTGTCAGGCTGATGTTAACAGGCTCAGCAGAGAAGATAAAGTGGTTGTTCCTTTCACTCACCTGTCCAGAGTCACATTTGTTGACATATCCCTTTCATAAGACAGAATATGGAAAATCCAGTCCTAGGAAAACAAAATCTGTTCAGAAAGAGTAGAGGCACCCTGTGCTCCCGAAGAGCACGAGCCCCACGGGTGCTGTGCCCCGTCCCAGGCAGCCCTGGCCCCATGTGCAGGTGGAGAGGGATGCTGTGGACCTGAGCAGGGCAGCTGTGCCTTCCCTGACCTGTGGGAAGCCCCCCTGTGCTGGGTGAGCACGGGGTGTGGAAGGGGGACAGCCTTGGGCTGACACCAGCACTCGAACAGAGCCACTGTGGGGGTCCCTCCTCCTGCCCCCTGCCCTGGTGCTGCTGCTGCTCTGGACTTGAGCTGGACAGCAGCTCTGACAACAGCTGGGAACAGAACCATCAATGTCTGTACAAACCAAAGAATCAGGGTTACCTCAGAGGCCTCTGATGGCCAGTCTGCCATGGAGATGGTCATTTTGTACTGCGTGTCACTGGAGCCAAGAGGGACAGCATTAGTATGGAGATTCCCCTCCTCTGAAGTCTCTGGAACTTCAGTTCTCACACAGCAAACCAGCCCTGCAGGGTTTGCTGCCCTTTTAGGGAAGTCAGGACTGACAGGAGTCAAACTGGAGGATCCCTCTACCTCCACAGCAACCAGAACAGGCTCGGGTACTCACTTGCATGTTTCTTTACAGGAGTCAATGCAGATCTGGCGCTGTTTTATGCTGGATCTCAGTGAGGAATAGCAATATGCTGTTTGGTGAAAACAAAATTAAAGTATCTGTTTAGATAAGGACCCAGCTACTGAGCTATATCAGTTTCATTTATCAAAATAAATATTAGGTATGACCCTTCCGCACAGATTAGCCATCTTCCCTTTCAACGTTCCTTTCCTTGAGAAACTCGGGCAAAACACTCTGATAATTTAATAATGAGTTAAAAATAAACTGTCACTTTCTGAAGGCAGGTTTTATAGATCCAGCTTGCCCAGGGTTGGTATTTTTGGCACAGCCCTGGCCTCTGCCAGCACAGAGCTGTGTCACCCCAGGGGGGCACTGCCCCTGCCAGGGGACCCAGAATTTTCATGTGCAGGGGCCTGGAGCGATGCCCTGTGCTCCCTCCTTGGTGCCCAAGGCTCCCCCAGCCCACAGCCAAGACCAAACCTGGCCCCTTCTCCCCAGCACTGGCCCAGGTGGCCACGTCCCACAGGGATGTCCCAGCCGTGCAGGGACAGCAGGGACAGCAGCCAGCCCCGCTCCCCCATCAGCTCTTACCCCAGCCTGGGCTGTCCTCGTTATTGCAGTAATTCACCCCTTCAGGCAAAGGGAACATATAGTGCCCACATCCACAGATCTCCACCATGTGGTTTTGGAAACAGGAGCGCAGGCAGGCCTGGGGAGGGAAGAGGGGAGCTCAGGCTTGGGCTGAGCCCTCGGGCAGCTCCGTGTGGCTGGCACAGCAGCGGCTCTGAGAGCCCCTCAGCTCCCAGGAATTCCCTCTCTCTTGCACTGAACAGGTGATTTTGGGGCTGCAGACAGAGAGGGATGAAGGTGCAGGGGAAGTGGGAGCTGCCAGAGCTGTCCCTGCCCAGAACCTCTTCCAGCCTTGCACTGGAGTTTTTAAGGCCACTCATGGGAGGTGAGACCTCGTGGGAAATGGAGAGCTCAACGCCCACTCCCACCAGAAACTGCTCATTTCTCTCTTATTTTAGGGCTTCATAAAAGTAATATTCAAGCTTCCAAAAGAGAATACAAATGTTCTGTTCCACCACAGACGTGGCTGTGCTCTCCAGGCTTTACACAATAGTGACAAAGGGCTGGTTTTACACTTTAAGGCCAGGAATTTCCAAATCCTTCAACATAAAGAGCAGATGTATGAATGATCCTCTCTGTGTGGGTGCTGCTCTTCTGGGGAGGATTGTGCTGCAGCAATGCCATTAGCTTGGTGAGGCATGAAGTTCATCACCTGAGATTGGAGGGGGATTCTGCATCAGGCAGCACAAAGCAATAGCAAATCTGTGAGGAGGTAATTAAATTTAACAGTTGTGGGTAGGACAGGCAGAGAATTTCTGTGTGATAGGAAAGGTCCACAGAGTGCAGAGCAGTCAGGGAGTGATGGAAGAGCCTGGTTTTGCTGAGAGGGCTCTGAAGTGGCGTTACGTGGGCACAGAACTCCGTCATGGTTTGCACTTCTGGGGAATAATGCAATCCTCACGAGTGTTTGCTTAGACCTTATACAAGCATCTTCAAAAGCTGAGTACAGTGGTCCAGTTGTTATTATATTTATAAAGGTAGAAATATAAAACCACTGCCAGCCCAAAGCCCTCCTGATCTCCGGGTGCATCTGTGAATCACCCCAAATGGGCGTTTCTCTTATTATCACATCTCACCCTCAAGAGCTGCTTCTCTCTCCAGTACAGCCTGTTACAAATTAACCTGTGCTCAGTGTTTGCACTCTAATTTTCGACAGATTCCAGGTTTAGAGACACTCAACTTTCTCATCCAATTTTCAGACTGATGAAGAAGCAAAGGGCTGTTTTGCTGCCTGTACAAACCAGCTGCATTTGCAGGGTGAAAAATTACTTGATTCCCCCAAAGAGAAAAAAGTTAAAGATCACAGAAGTGTTCAGAGGGAGAATCTGTCCTTTGTATTCCTCTCCTCTCAGGGGTAAATATCACTCGTGTACACAAAGCACGAGTTCCTGAGAAGTGTCACTTTGACATTGTCTCAGCAGAAGCTTCCCAGAGCCTCAGTGACTGTTCCCACAGAACCATATGGGGCTTAGATCAGATATTAGGAAAAATTTTGCATGGAAAGGGTTGTAAAGCATTTGAACAGGATGCCCAGGGCTGTGGTGAAGTCACCATCACTGGAAGTGTTCAAAACCCATGTGATGTGGCACTTGAGGAGATGTTTCATCAGTGGTGGTGCTGTGCTGATGACCCTGAAAGATTTCACGATTTTATGATTCCCTAGTACCCTCCATGATAGGCAAAGATTTAACTGCTTTGAGGATTTTTCTGAGGAGTGTTGGTAGATTTCAAAGGGTGTTTCACCTGTATGGAGTAGGAGGTGTTGTACTGGCTGTAGAGGTTTTTGACAGGGACGTCGGAGCCGTTCATGGTGCAGTCGCTGTAGGGATAACCCATCCGCTCCAGCTCATCCTGGAAAGGAACCCAAACACCACACTGTGCTCATCACTTCTCCACAGGTCCCCTGTGCCCGTTCTCCAGAGGCTCTGTAATTCCTGTGCTCCCCACTGGCTTTGCTAAAAATGAAAGAGCAGAGGTGGCAGTGCTGAAGAGGCTGCAGCCCCTTCCCTGGGTGGATCCAGGCAGGCCAGGGTGCTCGGGGATGGCAAAGCCCTTTCTGACACGCTGGAGAAGGAGGCAACCGTGACCTGAGCCCAATATTCCAGCCTCAATAAAGCACTTTGCCAGGACAGTTACATAAAATCCTCCATAAAGCACTCCAGCCCCTGACAGGTGTGTACCTTGTCTCCTTTGGTTTGAGCCAGTTCAGCCAAGACTTAAAGCAAACTTGGTTTTGGTCCCATCAGATAACATTATTCTCAGACAATCTGCTCCTGAGGAATGCCACACATACCACCAGCACTCCAATGGAGGTTTCTGTCCCAGCCATGGCGTAGATGCCCTGATCCTTGAGGAAGGGGAAGCTCTTCTGTTGGTGCAGCATGAGCCGGGCCCCAGCGGCAGAGGACAGGTAGGGAATGTAGTCCTGCTGGCTGATGTCCAGAATCAGCTTCAGCCCTGGGACACCAGACAAAACACTCACAACAGGAATTGTATTGGAATGTGAGGCTTGGGAAAGAAGGGAGTCTATTTTCTTCTCCCTGTTTCTTGGGAAGAGCCAGGGTCTGGCTGCCATGGCAGGAACACTTATGGTGGTGAATGCCCAGAATGGCAATAGCTGGGAACAGTCAGGTGTTGCCTCAGATATTTCAAATATCCAGAGGATGCCCTTCTGCTACGTGTCCGTAGTCACTCTTTTCCTGTGTGCCACATTTTCCTTTTGGGGCTCATTCCCTTCCAGAAAGCCTCTGTTCCCTGTTGCAGTGCTCCAGTGACAGAGGAATCATAAATCTGTCCTGAGTGACAGAAGTGGGCACCAAGAGACAGAGCCCTCACGTCTGCCCCTCCAGCCCCCTCCTCCACCACAGAGAGCTCCCTTACCAAATTCAGCCCCAGGGTTGGAAGAGTTCAGAGCCTCTTCATCCATGCCCCAGTTAAAGATGTAGCAGTTGCCATGGTCTGGGTGGTAGATTTGGGTGAAATTCCTGGAAGAATCATACACATAAAGCTGTGACTCTCGGGAGGACTCAAGGGGTGTGACATAAAGCAGATGGTGGGCCCAGCTCAGCAGCTGTGCTGGGGTTCACCTCCCATTGCCTCATTTGCTGAACACCTGAACTACAGCTGGTAGCACTTCACTCCATCTGTTTCTGAACAAAAAGGCACAGCAAGGTGCAGGTGTCTGCTGGGACGTGGCCCTGGGGACAGCGCTCCGTTGGATGGAGAGGAACATTTGTCACACAGGTGAGAGCAACAATTGCTCAGTGGGAGCTGTGGTTACAGGTTTGGGCTGGCATTAGAGCTCATGCCTTGATGACAGTCCTTGGTCCCCCTTGGTGCAGAAGGGACAGGGCTCCCCACAGCCTGGGGTGCTGCTGTGTGCTCCCTTTCTCAGCACTGGAGAGGGGAACTCGGGATTCATAGGAAACAAAGTTGGCATTTCTCAGAGCCCTGTGCCATAGGGAGGAGGGCTTTACCTGGGGGCTGTGCTGCTGACTCAGCACCTGGCTATCACTGGATACCCTGGGTGCTGCTGATCTTGATATGTCATGAGCAAAACAGCCCATCCAAAACACTAACTCAGCCAGCACTGTACCAAAAGAACGCATTTCAGCCAGCATCACATCCAGAGAAACTCTGAGAAGCGTTTTTAGAGCTAAGAATCAGCAGCAATTTCATTAGCAGCTGATATGTACCTTAGAAAGAGAAAAGAACCCGCGTGCTGTTCATTCCCACAGGGATGAAAAGGGGCAGGGAGCTCGTGTGCACCTACTTGTAGTTGCAGGGTTCAGCCCCGTAGAGACACGCCAGGATCATGTCCTCTGCCTGGTAGCCCATCCTGATCCTCTGGTGCAGCGGCACCTTGGAGAGGATGGAGGTGGACTGCAGGATGTACCACTCGCTCACCGCCTGCGCCGCGCTGCTGAAGTTCCTGTAGGTGCAGTTGTCAGAGCCCTGCTGGCTGCACTGGGGACACAGAGCAGGCAGCTGTGAGCCCCAGGGGATGGCAGGGGCCGTGCTGTCACCCCCTCCCCACGGGCCGTGCTGTCACCCCCTCCCCATGGGCCATGCTGTCACCCCCTCCCCATGGGCCGTGCTGTCACCCCCTTCCCACGGGTGTGCGGACACCAGCCCTGCCTGCAGCTCCCAGGAACGGAGAGGCTCAGCCTGAGGGAGCCACAAGCAGCTGTCACACCGAGCTGGCTGTCACACAGAGCTGGCTGTCACACCGAGCTGGCTGTCACACAGAGCTGGCTGTCACACAGAGCTGGCTGTCACACAGAGCTGACTGTCACACAGAGCTGACTGTCACACAGAGCTGGCTGTCACACAGAGCTGACTGTCACACAGAGCTGGCTGTCACACAGAGCTGACTGTCACACCGAGCTGGCTGTCACACAGAGCTGGCTGTCACACAGAGCTGGCTGTCACACAGAGCTGACTGTCACACAGAGCTGACTGTCACACCGAGCTGGCTGTCACACCGAGCTCACTGTCACACAGAGCTGACTGTCACACAGAGCTGGCTGTCACACCGAGCTCACTGTCACACAGAGCTCACTGTCACACCGAGCTGGCTGTCACACAGAGCTCACTGTCACACAGAGCTGACTGTCACACAGAGCTGGCTGTCACACCGAGCTCACTGTCACACAGAGCTGACTGTCACACCGAGCTGGCTGTCACACAGAGCTCACTGTCACACAGAGCTGACTGTCACACAGAGCTGGCTGTCACACCGAGCTCACTGTCACACAGAGCTGACTGTCACACAGAGCTGGCTGTCACACAGAGCTCACTGTCACACAGAGCTGACTGTCACACAGAGCTGGCTGTCACACAGAGCTGACTGTCACACAGAGCTGGCTGTCACACAGAGCTGACTGTCACACAGAGCTGGCTGTCACACAGAGCTGACTGTCACACAGAGCTGACTGTCACACAGAGCTGGCTGTCACACAGAGCTCACTGTCACACAGAGCTGACTGTCACACAGAGCTGGCTGTCACACAGAGCTCACTGTCACACAGAGCTGGCTGTCACACAGAGCTGGCTGTCACACAGAGCTGACTGTCACAGTGCATTACAGGGTCCCTCCCCAGGGACATTTCCCAGCTGGGGAGGTTATACATCAGCCCCAGGGTGACCTCCACAAGTTAACAGAAAATGTCAATTTTGGGCCAATTCTTTAAGGCTGGAGTTTCCCCAGCTCCCAAGGTCTGCCCAGGCAGGGTCCTTGCAGCCTCCATGGCAGCAGCGAGTCCAGCTCGTGCCTCTGCACTGTGAACTGCAGCAGGAAAGGGATGGGGCAGTGGCCACAGCCTCTCCCTGGCATTTTGGGCACCTGACCCAAGGAAGGGGTGAAGGTGTCTGGGAGCCTGCAGGGAACACCCCTGCCCTGGCTCTGTCCTGGGCTCAGCCTGCAGCAGGGACTGGGTCTGGGCACAAGCAGTCCCCAGAGCTGGCACAGCCAGCCCAGAGCCCCAAGGCAGAGCAGCCAGGGGAGGAGACACACATCTCCCTGCTGCGTTCTTGCCGAGGCCCCCATCCCTCATCTCTGCCTGCTGCCACTGTGGGACGCCTCTCACCAGCTTCACTGCCAGCTTGTACTTCTTCTCTTCGGACGTGGTGTTGGATGGGGCAGGTGGAGCAGTGGTTTGGTTCCCCGCAGTGGTTTCATTGCCCAAGGCTTCGCTGCCCCCAGCAGTGTCACTGCTCACACTGGTTTCGGCGTCCAAGGCAGTTCTGTTGCCCACAGCAGTCTGGTTGGTCTCAAAGATGTCCAGGATGACAGGATTGTCTTTGTCGTGCTCGTCGATGAGGACCAGGGGGATCTGGTTCCAGAGCTCCAGGTCGAGCGGTGGGGACACGTTCTCGCTGCCGTTCCCTGGCTGCAGGATCCTCTCCAGCGCCGCCTCAATGAGCCTGTCCAGCTCCTTCAGCAGGGGCTTCACCTCTGAGTACCTGTGGGACAGGGAGCTGTGGCCAGGCAGTGTCCTGCTGCTGCCTTGGACCTTCCTGGGCACCTCAGAGTCTGCCTGGAGCCTCCTGGAGGACAGCGGGAGCTTCCATGCAGAGCACGGCCGGCTCGGACACTGCTGGGCAGGAGGGCAGTGGGAGGATAAACAGGGAGTGCTGCAGGAGTGAACACACCAGGGCTGGGCCACATTGGTTCCAGTTCAGTAATTCACTACAGTTTACACAAAACACCTCTAACAAGTGGAGGAAAAGCTACCCCTAAGCACTTCTTGCATTGGCTGAGAGCATCTTGCCTTGGGCTCCACTATTGCATGGATATGAATTTAAAGCAGCTATAAATTTAAAGCAACTGTAATGAAAATCAGTGACTCCTTTTAAATCACAATTCAGTTCTGTCTCTGTGGTTCCTGGCAGACAGGATTGTGGAACCAGCTCTTAGGGACTGGAGTATGAGCAATGAGAAGAATGTTCACAGCAAGGAAGGGGAAGAAAAAGAATTGTGGGGAAAGATGGAAAGACTGATTCTGGGAAAGGTGAGCTGAATTTGGTTCTTCTATGAGCTGAGGAAAGTTTGCAGGGAGGTAAAAACCTTAATTTGATTGATTGATATGGTGCAGAAGCTGTGCTCAGAAGGAATTTCTCCCTGGCAGGGTGGGCAGGCCCTGGCACAGGGTGCCCAGAGCAGCTGTGGCTGCCCCTGGATCCCTGGAAGTGCCCAAGGCCAGGCTGGACAGGGCTGGGAGCAGCTGGGACAGTGGGAGATGTCCCTGCCATGGCAGGGGGTGAAATGAGATGAACTTGGAGGTCCCTTCCCAACCCAAACCATTCTGGGGTTCTATGAAGCCCAGGAGAACTTGCAGGCAGATGAACCCTTCTCTGGCCCTGAGCCACTCATCTTCACACTGTTCTTTATTTGTTTTTAGGGTCACTTGGTGACTCCATTAATGCTCCTAACGTAATGCCTGAGTCAGGAAGGGGCCCTCAGTACCTCACACTGGCAATGTTTCCGAGGGGTTAAGGCACACATGGGGAAATTGGGAGAAGAAAAACTTACTTGAAAGGGTTGGCGTTGCAGATGGTGACTGCAGGGAACTTCATGGTCTTAAAGCCAATGGAGAGAGACGAGGTGACGTTGTAGGAGAGGTAGGTGTTGATGAGGATCCCCCACTGCCAGAACACCAGGGATGCAAAGAGCAACGTTAGGAAGAACCAGATTAATTTCTTCTTTGGCCCCTCCTTGATGATGCGCTTGGGGCCGTGGGTGTTGGTGTTGTCGCAGTACCAGACCAGCAGCTCCTTGTAGGTGTAACCAGGGCCCTTCTGCAGGCGGTGCAGCGCCCGCACCAGGTACTTCTTCAGGTTCATGCTGCTGCCTGTGGGCAGGAGAAAACCATCAAAGCAGCTCTGAGGAGGAGCAGGGTCTGTGCCACAGCAGGTGTCCCTGTCCCAGGGAGAACTCAGCACAGATGCCCTGCAGGGTCATGCCATGGCAGCGAGGTGTCACCCAGCCTCCTGGGAGGACACAGGAGAGCTTTGGGATCGGCAGTTCCAAAGGTGCTGAATGCTTTTGTCACATTTTGGGTTCTTGCTGGCCCCAGCAGAGCTGAGGGACCTGGTGAGCCCCGAGCACAGGCTGCGGGGTGGCAGTGCCTGCCCAGGGGCTGCTCAGCCGGTGGGAATGCTGTGTGCACACTGAGACAGCTGGAACGCTGTCCCAGCCTCAGCCAACACTAGATGGACCAAGCAGGACACGCAGGAGCTGGCTTGGGTAGAGCCCAAGCTCACAGCGTTCAGGGTTCAACCTCACTTGGAGCCCGAGACAATTTTTCTTAAAAGTAAGAGGTATTAGAGTGCATCCAGCTTTCAGAGGGACAGCAGGAGGGGTGCTGGAAGCAGCAGCAGCACCTTTCCTAGCACCAGGAATGCTGTCCAGGGCTGCTGCCCACTGGAGGACCGACACCAGATTGGTTTTTTTCCACCAAATTCCTTTGTCTGTCAGATATTATCAGTACGGCCCCCCCACTCCCCCGCTCTGGTGAGGGATGCTGCATACCTGGCATTCATTTTGTGAGTAAACAGAACATTTTGTGCTGCTATTTTAAGGTTAGAATCTGTGTTACTAAATCTTAACATCCCGAGGCAGGATTTCAAAAAGAACCCGAGGCAGCCATTCAGAACATTTGTCAGATTTGAGCTGCAGGAGAGCAGAGTTAAAGATTAGTGCTGGGAATTGGCCCCATCCTGGGAGGAAGAGTGGAATAATGCAGCAACAGTTCACTAAGGAGCAGCACTCGGCAGGGCAGGAATGAGAGGGACACAGCATTGCTTGCAGGTGAGCAAAGAAGGCAGAAAAGGTGTGCACAGACCCTGGGGAGGGAAAGGAGGTGGGTTCTTCATACTTTTTGAAAATAAAAAAGGTGATACTGATTCCTTGATCTGCTGGCCAGATCTGCAGATTCTCAGATTCTCCTGAGTAGCACATGGAGAGACTGAGAGCAGTATTCAGAGATTCTGCAGTCTCACCCCATGACACAAAGAGAGACGATGGTTTTCACCGCATGCCATTACCTGTGATGTTAGATGTAGCTGATCCTCAGAGAGGAATCCGGAACAACAAACCCCAGCTGCTTTCTCTAAGATCCAAGGGCAGGCTCTACTCCTATAGAAAAAGATTTTGTTCTCCAAGGAACTCGTGTCCTGGCACTTGGACCCCCTGGATTCCCAACATCATCTCACCCTTCATGACCTCATGCCACTGAGGTTCCTCCTGCTGTTGCCTGGGGGTGGTTTGCTCATGAGGGAGCAGACCTTGCACCAGAGCCTGGCTGGGTTTTGGGCAGATGTCAGGAGAGAGGCAGCACTGACCTGGGGCTCTGCTGAGCTGCCCATGGCCGTGGGAGGACATGAGCCCCGAGCTGCCCCAGCCCCGCAGCGTGAGCTCAGCCCCTGCCCGAGGCACAGCAAGCTCAGCCTTGGCTTCACACAACCAAATCCTCAGAGCTCCTCAAAATCTGGGGAGCCCAGCGAGGCAGATGAGGAAATATTTTCTGCCTTTTAAGAAATCCAGTGAAAGATTTATATTAGATTGCAACTCCAAACCCCTGCCCGGTGCAGGAGAGGATCCTGCCTGGCTGCGTGCCCTCGGCTGCCCCTGCTCTCACCAACACTGGCTCCTGCCACAGGGAGACCCCACTTGTGTGCTGGTCTCTGTGGGTCACTCACCAGCCTGCCAGTGCTGGGGGAAATGATTCCTTTTCATATGGGAGAAAAGAAACGGCATGAGGCAAAAGCTGCATTTCAATATACCTGGATGACTTTTTTGCAACGTATATTCTCATTTCTCATTCAGTTTTCTCCTTACCTCGATTTCCAGAGTGTTTCCAAACAGGATTCTTCCTTGCTGGCAGCTGGCAGCTGCCCTGGGCGAGCTGCCCAAGCTCCTGTTTCGGGGCTGCTGCCTGGCACAGCGCTCAGTGCTCGGGGGCTGGAGCTGCTCGGGACAGGGTTGGTGCCAGGTTTGGTTCCAGCCTGGAGTGGGTCCTGCTCTGCCCCATCAACGGGCTGTACCTGAGCAGAGGTGATAAATGAGAGGTGTAAAGAGCCACTCTCCATCTGTGCACAGACCCCTGTGCCCGCTGCCCACAGCCCCTCCGGAGTGAGGAAGTGGAGCGGTGATGGAGCAGGAGCTGAGCAGGGCTGGGGGCACACGAGGTGCCACACACAGCCCTGAACCCTCTGCAGGTGGCTCCAGGGAGCCAGCAGTGCTTAACATCCGTGCTCTGGGCTGCTCTGGTCACAGCAGGGTCATCTGAACTGTCTGGAGCTGACCCCAGGGATGTGAGACCCTGTGGTGCACAGGGTGCCACGGCCCCTCTCCTGGCAGCACGTGCAGCCCTGTGAACTCATCCTAAAAGAAACCTGCTCCTGGTTCCAGTGGGGTTTCTCAGTGCTGTGGACGTGTCCTCCCTGTCTCCAGCAGCTGAGTCCAGCCCTGCCTCATCCCAGCATCACCCTGGGTGAAACTCCTCCACCTCACAGTGACATCAGACTCCCACATTACGAAACGATTGTGTTGACTCTGTTGAATCTCCTCTGGGGTTTTCCTAGGGCAATTGCCACTTGAAGGAAATAAAGTCATGAGCAAAACTTGGCCCACTCCTGGAAGCTCCAGGGTCGGACATGGGCTGCAAAACCACGCTGACACCACTGGCCCGATGACACTGTGATTGCTCAGCACTTTCTCCCCTGGAACACACCACTCACTCCTCTTTGATGGCCAGCTGCTCCTCTGGGTCCATCCCCTGAACCCTGGGGGAAGAGCCCAGTTTTCCTAAACGAGACATACTCTCTAGTGGTGTTTTTGCAAATTAGAGGAATTTCTTTTATTCCCTCACAAGTTTACATGTTGGCAGTTTGAAAAGTGGAGCAGCAGCGTGTCTGAGCAAGGAAAGGCTGTCTCAAGGTGGGGCCAGAGCTCCCAGCAGATGCCCGGTGTTGCTGGTGGCGTGCAGGGACAGTGGCCAGGGCACACAGCCCCAACACCCACGGCTCCAGCCCCAAGGGGCAGGCGTGCAGCACTCAGGAGTATTTACAGTCTGGGAGCTCAGATAGCGCTCACCTGGCTCTGTGTGTGTGTTAGGCACTCTGCTCCTACTTCCCTGCCTAACCCTGAGTTCCCCTCTGCTCTGCAGCCAGGCTGGGAGAGCTGGGAACATTCCCCTGGAGAAGGGAAGGCTCCAGGGACCCCTCAGAGCCCCCTCCAGGGCCTAAAGGGGCTCCAGGAGAGCTGGAGAGGGACTGGGGACAAGGGCCCGGAGTGTCAGGGAAGGGGGAATGGCTTCCACTGCCAGAGGGCAGGGCTGGATGGGATATTGGGAACAAATCCTTCCCTGGCAGGGTGGGCAGGCCCTGGCACAGGTGCCCAGAGCAGCTGGGGCTGTCCCTGGATCCCTGGCAGTGCCCAAGGCCAGGCTGGACAGGGCTGGGAGCAGCCTGGGACAGTGGGAGATGTCCCTGCCATGGCAGGGGATGAAATGAGATGAACTTGGAGGTCCCTTCCAACTCAAAGCAATCCATGATCCCGTGGTTCCCGTGATGTCCCTCTCTCACAGGACAGCCACAAGCTGTGCTCCTCATGTGTCAGTAAGGTCACATTGCTGAGCTCACTTTGCTGCTGGGGCAAGGAATGACAGGAATCCTGGAGAGTGAGAGGAGCAAACCCCCAGCACAGCAATCCCTGGGATGCTGTGAGCATCCCCTGCCTCACTGGGAGACACCATCCTGGGGGAGATGGCACATTTCCAACACCAAATCAAACCCCAAACTATTCCATGAAGATGCGGTTTGCTCGCATTCTCTTTTATCAGGGAGATTGAATATGTAAATAAAGGTTAAATCCAAGTTACTATCCCTGGCTTCACACTGGATACATCCCAAACACCTCCCAGCACGAAAACCTGCCCCGCTGCTGCAAAACCAGGCAGAGATCGGGTGACTTCAGGTCTGTAGCAGTGTAAAAGACACCACGGCCAGCCCAGTCGAGCCGGTCCCTTCGGCCCCGAGACGCCGCCGAGGGATGCCCGAGGGCGCTGGGAGATGCGGGCATCCCCCGGCAGGGTCCCGGGGCCGAAGGGACCGGCCAGCACCG